TAAATGATCCAAATGCTCATCACCCAACTTGTTATATACCAAGATATCATCAAAGAAAACCAGCAAAAATTTCCTGAGATTTGGTCGGAATATCCTGTTCACGAGAGATTGGGATGTAGTATGGGTGTTGGTGAAGCCAAACGGCATCACCAAGAACTTATAGTGTCATTCGTGTGTCCCGAATGTTGTCTTTGGAACATCCTCACTCATCCTGATCCGATGGTACCCAGACTTCAGATCCATCTTTGTGAACAATGCCGCTCCACAAAGCTCTTCCAACAACTCATCTATCACCAGAATGAAAAACTTGTTTGGCATAGTCTCCTTGTTCAATGTCAGATAATCCACATAAAATATCCAACTCCCATCATTCTTCTTGACAAGTCAGACTGGGCTACAAAATGACTCATGCTCAGCCTAACTATTCCTGCCTCCAACATCTACTGGATCAGCTTCTCAATCTCATCATTTTGGATATGAGAGTATCGATATGGCCTGACGCTGATTGTTGACACCCCCTCTTTCAAGGTGATAGCGCGCTCCTGCTCTCTCTATGGTGGCAATCCTTGTAATAGCTGAAAAATCTCACTGAACTGCTGGATAAGCGGTTGTACCGAGGAGGGTCTCCCCCTTATCTTATGAAATCTATTTGTTTTGAATGAGATGAAGAATGAGTTGCTTGGTGGTAGTTATTTGAATTTGATTCATGTTATCATTCCATGCACTTTTAAATACAATATGTAGGTTCATTTTGCCACTCTTCCCCTTTAGAGAATGTAAAGGTTTCTCTACCCACGAGTTATATGGGAGTAGGTTACTCGAGACAGGAATTCTAAGTGTGAGTTGTACTTAGGTCTGAATTAACCTAAAGCTTTGGAGAACAATCCACACAAAAATCAAGGTTTCTCTTTTGTTTCTTGCAATTTATTTTTGTTTTAATATTTACATTCATTTAAATAACAACTCCCTCTCATAAACTGACTTCAGTGTATCTCTAGCTGTCATCACCTAGTTGAAGTAAGCTATGAACATGTGATTTTGCATAAGCAATACCTCTAATCCATACCTTGATGCATTCGTCTCTATACCTTGATGCATACCGAGTCAAAAAATGATGTTGTACGTTTTGGTTAGTATCCGGATGTCGTTCGGTGACCGCACAGAATAATTTTTCTTCGAGCCCATGCATCTATAACATTCACGCACTAGCAATTTCCAAATGTGATCAAATTGTCGAGAAATGGTTAATGATATGTCATTCATATCATCATGCATGAAATTTATACAAGTTATATTATAATCAAGTTTCATTTGATTGTGGTTTGTTTTCATTAATTTTTTTTTATTTGAATAAATTTAGTATTATTCTTTAAAAGTTAATTTTCTAATTTAATCTCCTAAAGCGTGTTATTTATCATGGAAGTAAATTTTAAGAAAGAAATATTTTGGACAAGTTTTTTCGAATAATGGATAATTTTCTTCGTTAAAAATATTTTGCTTCATCGAATACTGGAAATACAATTTGAATTTCTAATAATCAAGTTTGAATTTATTGGGACTAAAGATAATTTTTTTTTATTTGATTTAAAGTTTGTATTATTCTTTGCAAGTTTATTTTCTCACTTCATCTCTTAATGCTTTTTCATGGAATGAAGGAAAATTTAGGGAAAAAATATTTAGATCAAGTCTAATGCACATTGCTAATAATAATTATCAATCTAAGTTTTTTTTTTCTTTAAAGAGTAATTTCAATTGCTTTTTAAAATGTAGTATCTTAAATCCTAAAATTTTATGGCTACATTTAGGTTTTACATCATAAATTAAAAAAGTTATCGAAATGCAAAGAGACAATAAATTATATTAAAAGTTAAAATTACATAAATATTTTCATTTTTTTTCTGCAAATCATGTTATAACTAGTGGTATAGTTTTTACACTTCCTCTTTGCTATGTACTAAGCCCACTTTCTCTACTTCCATATGCTAGAATGAAATTTTCTCTTCTTTATTAATTAATTTGGGGAGTTACACTAAAGGAAGTTATGAAGCAATTCATGCATTTATAATTCACATTTCTTATATGGAAATTCATGTAAAAGGCAGTGAAGGAATCATGAAAAGTTTAAAATGGCCAACTTTTTTTTTTCATGGATGTATCAAATAAATTATAATGATAAGCTTATGAAAATAAGCTTCTTTAAAAAAAAAATTCATATCAAGCTATACTTATAATATTTTTATGAAATATTTATAGAGGAGGCCATCATTACAACATTTTTTTAGCATTCTTGTGTTGCATCAGCATCCCACTACTTATCTCTTCATTTGTTCATCTTATCATGTTACATTATTGTATGGCTGGTTATTTCAAGAAATAAAATTTAAACTGTGGAGTTTCAAGATCAACAAAAGCATCATCAAAGTTGATCACATTTTGGCAAGTTACAAATAATTTCCTTGGTAAGCTAAACATAATGCAATTATTATTTTTCTTGCTTGCCAATTATCATTTTCTCTCTTGCATGCATTCTTGACTTGGCTTGGAAACTAACCCAGGTAAGTCTTTTGGTGTTGCATCAGCATCCCACAACTTAAAATAACTCTTTTCTGAAAACTTGAAAGCTTTGTAGGATGCTTCTCTTACAAACAGATCTACTTGAAAATCCTTTCAAATATTAATAATTATTGTGTTATAAATAGTAGCACTAAGGCCTTGAGGATTTATAATAGAAGATGATGTGTCTTTTTAGTTTTTTTTTTTTTTAAATGATGGATAGTTTTCTTCCTCATTTTTTACTTTTTAAAATATTAAAAATGCAATTTGAAATTATTATAATCTAATTTTTACAATCAATTTGATTTTATTAAAGTTTTATATTATTCTTTGAAAGTTGTTTTTCCTGTCCTCTCTTATACCATATTATTTTATCATGGAAGGAAGGAAGATTTATGGAAAAAAAAAAAGATAAGATCTGATCCACTATTAACAACAATGATTAGAGAGTTGCACAAAATTATCATTCAAAGCTCAAATATCAATTGATTAAGTGCTATTTAATTTTAGCTTTGATGGATTATGGAAGAAGAATCCAAGCAACTTAGATAATAACTAAAGCTTAATTGGATAACTGCCACACCCTCACTAAAAGATTTCTATGACTCTAAACCAAACTAAGTTTGGAGAAAAATAGAGTAATCTCACTTGTATTTTTAAAAATATTTTTACATTATGGCTATATATAAGATTTTCAACATGAAAAAAAAAAAGTTTTATAAGATTAAAATGAGACATCAAATTATATAGTCAAAATTAACTAAATTAGATAAACATATGAGTTGCAAATATTTATCTCTTCATTTGTTCATCATATCATGTTATATTATTCTAGGGCTGGTTATTTCGAGAAATCAAATTTAAATTGTGGGGCTTCAAGATCAACAAAAGCATCATCAAAGTTGATCACATTTTGGCAAGTTACAAATAATTTCCTTGGTAAGCTAAACATAATGCAATTATTATTTTTCTTGCTTGCCAATTATCATTTTCTCTCTTGCATGCATTCTTGACTTGGCTTGGAAACTAACCCAGGTAAGTCTTTTGGGGCTCATCGTAGTTTTTTATATCTGATAGTGGGGCTTTGTTTCAGACAATTTTCTTGCTGCTTTCTAAAATAGTTTTTTAGTATAAAAGATTTTTAATTTAAAAATCTTTTATACTAAAAAACTGCTTCAGAAAGTAGCGAGAAAGCTATCCCAAATGAACTTGAACCTCTAATTCAAACCATTTTCATCAAATTTAGCCTCACTCTCTCCTTCCATAGTTTTACAACCTCTACTTTTATTTTTGTCCTCTCTCATTGACAACCAGTATAACATAATCTTCTTCTCTGACCTCTCAACCTTCCCAAACTATGATCAAATCTTAACCACCCATTCCTCACAAATTGATTTGACTTTCATAGGATATTCATACCATGCATCACCCAAGCTTTATTTAAACCTACCACCATATCCCATCAAGTTTGCCTCATTTCTAGCTAATGACTTGGTTAAGTTTCTATGAGGTATCTTATAATATGTTCTCTTCTTAGGTTTCGTTCGGGACGGCTTTTTTATTGCTTCTTAAAGCAATTTGTTAGTATAAAAATTAAAATTTTTGTACTAGAACGATGCTTTAAAAAGCAGTAAGAATGTCGTCCCAAACAATTAAAGCCTTATATCTTGCTTCCATTCTCACTTGTGAACTAGACGAAGATTTCTTCCAGAGGATCTAACTTCTGAACTATTCTGATTGTATTTCTTCTTTTTCTTCTCACCCATTTTTGTAAGCAGATATTTACAACTATTAGACCTCTGTACAGTTTGATCCCAAGGTGATAAATTTGTAGATAATAACTTTTTTTTTAAGTTTCTTAACTGTTGGTCGCTTCCTAATTATTCAATAATTAGGAGAAATTAAACATCTGTTAAAAAATATTTAAACAATTTGAGCATATATAATAATAATAATGAATAGAAGATGCATCAGTACAATAAATAGATAAAATTTTTATTAAATGATCATGAAGAAAAAATGGCAGATCAAATACAGCATAAATAAAAATAATATACAAAATTTATTTTTAACAACTTGTAGAATATTTAAAGAAACAAATGAAGAATGAAGATTCATAAATCAAACCTCAAATTTGATAAGAACGAGTAATTAGATGGCATATTTTATTCTGCATCTTTTAATTACCTAAGAAACTTAGTGAGAGAAAGAATATTCTCTCCGATAATCATCTTCTAATTAGCTTAATCCCTATTCAGATCTGATTGTTACTTTATTAACACTAACAACTAACCTTAATCAAAGTTTTATAGCAGTAATTAAGCGGCTAAGCTAAGACTGGGAGCCGATTAATTAAGATTAGGAGGAGATATAAATATGCATGGATCATGAATCTGTACAGTAGAGAGAGAGAGAGAGAGAGAGAGAGAGAGAGAGAGAGAGAGAACCTGGAGCTGGTGAAATCATAAAGCCTTCCTGTGCTCGAGAAGATGATCAGCCCAATCTCTGCATCACAGAGGACAGCGAGCTCTCTCGCCTTCTTAAGCAAGCCATTTCTTCTCTTGGAGAAGGTCACCTGCCTATTTGTTATGTTCTCAATCCTCCTTATCTCTATCTTCCCCCTCCCCATCTCCTCTCTCCTCTAACCCCCCTTTCTCTCTTCTTCTTCTTCTTCTTCTGGTTTCAGCTTGGTAAAGGGAGGGCTACTGCCTTCCCCATACGACGGGGTTCTTAAGAGATAATTGTTCATTAATTAATGTGGAGTGCAATATATTTATATAATAGAAATATGGAAGTTTGGTACCTTTTGGACATTAAGAAATTTACAAATTGAAGCCAGTTCATTTTTTCCATTATTGATCACCAAGAGACAATTGGTTTTGTCCCTCAATAAAAGTCATATTCTAACTTTATTTTTTCAGTTTTAGATTTTCATTTCAGTTATTATTATTATTATTATATATATATATATATGAAGCTAATTTCTATTATTGATCTTTATTTCAAGTGAGGCATAGCTTTTGATTTTATCTTAAATGAGTAAATGGGAAATTAGAAATTAATATATTACTGACTTGGCATTGTAAATCATAAGTATACCTAAGTTTTTGGAGTTTATTTCATCTTAACCTCTAATTTGAGAAAAATAAATAAGAAGGAAGTTTGATTTATATGCTTTGTAATTGAGGAAATAGGACCGTTAAATTTTTTCGGAAGTGTGTTTAATGTTTAATTCGGATTAAGTGATCACGAGCTACTTAGTTAAAGTTTGCCTTGAATAACATGGGTTCGGTTGAGTTGTGTTTTTGGATACTTATTTGAAATGTTGTTCACTATTTTAAATAAATTATCGTTATATACATAATTAAACATATGTATTTGAGAAGGTTCATCCTTTACTATTTGTAATTTCATCAAAATTTTTAGCTCACTTTCTTCTCTAATCACTCACTTTCTCTAGGTCTCTAAAACATGATTGGCTAGAACATATGAGAGGGTACAATAACCCTCCCAAAAGAAGGATTTGGCCCTTCAAGTCTCATAAAAGATCTTAAAGACTTCAAATGCTCATGCTAAGTAACACATTTGAATATTTGAAACCCTTTTTATAAAAATTAGTTTCATGTGAAAGGTACAATCCTTCTTAAAGGGGAAACATGAGTTAAATCGCTGATTGTGCGACAAGATACATATTTTGCTCTTTTTTTGTGCGATAGATTTCAATGATTTAAGAGAATCAAAGAACTAGCTACACGTACATCCAAATATCTCAATAACCCGACTTAGCTATAGTCAGGTTGGTTCAAAGAAAGTTGATGGGATAGAGGAGGCAAAGATAATGAACTTATCAGGATCTTGGGGAGCTTTTAACATCCATGACATATATGCTGCTGTTGATCGTGTGTGTGTGTGTGTGTGTGTGTGTGGGGGGGGGGGGGGGGGGGAAACCCCCCTCTTGGGTAAACATGTTTGGTAGGGTTTCCTTCAACCGCAAATAATTCAAATTGATTTTGAGTCAACATAGGATATATATATATATTAATTTTAGATTTTAATTTTAATTTTTTTAATTAAATTTGATTAATTAACTCAATTTAACGCTTATTTACTATTGAGGACATCACCAAAAGTCATCTCTATATTATTCTAATGATGGTTTTAGAATATATATATTTATAGTATTGCATTATGCATTGCACTATAGATTAATGTTGTCATTTTGCTAAACAAAGAACTCTTCTTTCTCTCTCCTTTTTTATTCAATAAATATATATTTAAATAAACATCAATTAATTTAAAATATGTCAAATAGTTGACAATTACATTTCGGTTCATTTTAGTTGACTTTTTCTTTTTTACATTAATTATTTATTAGCCACATCTCCTTGAACTCTTTCAAAGTTCAATGGAGATCATAATTTATGGTAGAGGCGTCAAAATTTTTTTTAATTAAGTACATAAATTAACAGAGATTTATATTAATACCACACAATTTTTATATATTTATATGTCTAATACATACCGTTTCATATTTACTTATATAAAACTTTTGTGTCTCAATCAGATTAGAACAAATACAAGAAAAAATATATTTCTTAGAAAAGTTAATGTTAGTGATATTTTTTATGTGATTTTAAGAATATGGATATTGTATAGGTAATTATAAAAATTTAGATGTTATATATGTAAATATATAAGAATTATATGGCATTTATGTAAATCCTTCATAATTAATTATATTATTCATAAAATTATTAATTAGATGTTTTTTATCATACAATAAGGCCATATTAATATATATCCATTATATATGACACTTTAAATGTCTCAATTAGTTTAAAACATATACATGAAAAAATATATTTCACTTTAAAAAAATAATGTTAATGATATTTTTATTGTGATTTAAAGATCTGGATGTCTTATAACTAAATATCAAAATTATGGTGCTAAATATGTAAATATATAAACAATTTATGATATATATGTAAATCCCTATAAATTAATTTTATTATTCATAACAATTTTATTTTGATGTTTAGCATTATGAATGTCATATAATAGGGTCATATTAATATATAAAAATATTTTTAAATTATAAGATAAATAAAAAAAACATTTTAAAATTTTAAGGGGCACTTACCCCACATATCCCAAATTAAATCCTCCATTGAATAATTACAAATAACACTTTTATTTTAAAATTAATAAAATTATTATAAAAAAAAGAAGAAAATGACAATAATCATTTGTGTGATTTCCATGCAAGAACAAAATCAACAATAATCTATACAAAATTAGTAAATTTTGGAAGCATTACCTAAGACTATAGGTGCTTGTACACATGCCAAACAATGAGTCAAGCCAATTAAAAATATAATTATATTAATTAATTACTTTTGTTTTTACTAATTAATGGCTCTAATGATTTTGAGATCCCATTGGACCCTGACATAAATATACTCTCTCATGGTTGGTGGGACAACTAGGATTGTCTTATTTATTGTAAATTATTAATATTTTTTAAGTTGTGGGACCCATCATCAATATTTATAGATGAGTATGATGACATTTCAAATATTGTAATGTTTGAATGTTTTAATATATTTCATTAGACATATTGCATTATTTTTAATTTCACAACTTAGAATGGATTCCTTAAATATTTTTTCTAGTTGCGTAAACGAGCTGAGTATCTACCCAATCGAGTTAAATTTATTTAATTTTTAATGAGTTTGAACTCGAGTTCAAGCCCCATTTGATCTCATTTATTGATCATCTCAAATTTAGCTCATTCAAAACTTATTAAGCTCGAGCTTGGCTCGATCACTCGAGATCGGTTCGATCACTCGAGCTCGTTTGAAAAGCTTGAGTTTGACTCGATAAATAGTTAAAAATATATAGTATATATTTTAGTATTTTGTTTTAAAATATATTTTTAAATAAGCAGTTTTTTTAATAAAAAAACACAATTTTATTCATAGAAGATAATAATTACAACACAAACCGACCAACAGCAAACGCGACAAAACAACAAGATACGAAACAAAAACAAGCATAACAGAATAAGACTTAAGCAAACTCAGGAATAGAAGCCCCCTGCACCAACCCCACGGCTAGCCACAGACCATCCATAGGTGATAGCAACTCAAAACCAACACAATCATGAATTCCAAGCAAAAGGCCAAACCACCCAGGTTGCCAACCAGCCGATCCAAATAAGGGGAAGCTGGGGGCTTCTTCATCATCGTCCACAAAGCCCTCAAATAGCACTGTCGTAACAGTAATAGGAAAAGCCAAAGCCTATTTCTTCTAGTCTTTACTTTTACACTTTTTACCACTGACATTGAGATAACTTTGTTCAACAAAACGAACTGCCATATCATCCTCAAAGTCATCAAATTCCTCTTCCTCCCCCCCCGAGAAGGTGAAGAAAGGGAGTAATCCAAAATTAGCCAATCAGTTTGAACCAGAACAGAGTTACTCACAGACTTGACCACATGAGCCTTCAATTCATTGTTAGACATAACTGAAATATGAATATTAATAAAAGTGGCATTACCCTTCGAAACAACATTAGGACAAAATTCAGATTGGACATTAACAGACGCATTTGAATCTAAATTAATAGGCAAAGACACAACATCCCATTCTACAGAAATAAAAGAAGAGGAACCACCACAACCAACCAACTCCGAAATAGGAGATATAGGGCTAGCAGGCTCAGCATATCCAGAATTAACCTCCAAAGGCAGTTCTTTCAGATCATCCACAACATCCACAAGAAAAATTAGCTTTAAGATTAGTACCAAAATTCAATTCTTCATCCTCACCAGGACATAACTAAGGAGCATAGGAACCAGGTTCCATCGCAACCACTACAGAATCAACAAGGACTATATTAGAAATTAAATTATCCCCCAACAACACATCGGCACTCCTCGCCACATACCTAGCAGTCCCCAACTCAATAGGGATAACAACTGCAATAGGCGCATTCTCCCACCCCCCCCCCCCCCGGGGGGGAAAGGCAAAACAGGGGCATATTGAATATTCCTAATATGTTCCTAATATCATAGAAATGATGTTTAAAAATTTCAATAAATGAAGAGAGAGAGAGAGAGAGAGAGAGAGAGAGAGAGTGATTCAAAATAGGTTTAGCATTAGCATTAGACGGACCAGCCGAAGAAAGAGGACTACAATTCCCAACCACATGTTCGATACATTTACATGAAGCACATAAGGGTGGGAACTCTTCCATAATCACTTGCTGCACATAACCCAACTTCTCATGACCAAACCAAACCTTGTCTAGATAGGATTTAGTGATATCAAGCTCAACCAACACACGAGCCATGGAAAGTCAAGATCCAACAGAAGTGACCGAATCAATTTTCAAAGGTTTGCCAAATATAGAGCCCAAACCGTGAAGAATACGGGGGAAAAGAGACAAGGACGCAATTGCGAAAAGGATACTCAAATCGGGATGACCGGTGATTCAACGGCAACATAAAAAAGGGGAGACCACTTTGTAAGTTTCATGTAGCAATTGTACACAAGATAGGATCTATGAAAAAAAATCCTACAGTAATCAAGATCATTAGCCAGTTTGATCAAGATATGCGACAGATCAAGCAAGGTGATCAAAACTTCACAATTAAACTTAAGGTTG